ACACCAGAGTTTGAGATCTCTCAGAACTGGAGTACAGACAGTTGTGAATCATCAGGTAGGTGCTGGGTATCAGCCCTGGATCCTCTGGAAGACATCCAGTGATATTAAAGAATGAACCCTATCCTCGGACCCTAGTTTATTTGCTGTAATTTTTAAACACTATTTGGATGTCTTTAGTACTACTTGCATTATATCTGTGGGTATTTCGACTCTATCAGTTGGGTGGAGGCTTCTTGAATGTCAGTTAGAAAAATGTAAAAATGATCACAGGGCCGGGTGGTGTTGGCTCACGCCTTTAATCCCAACACTTGGCAGCAGAGGCTGCAGATCTCTGTGAGTTCGAAGCCAGCCTGGTCTACAAGAGCTAGTTCCAGAACAGGAACTAAAAAGCTATGAAGAAACCCTGTCTCGAAAATCCAAAAAAAAAAAAAAAAAAAATGATCACAGGGTGAGGGGCTGTGTATTCCCCTCTCATATCCCCTTCAATGCCCTGTTTTTCTGTCTTATTATGGGGACAAGTGGGCATCCTCATGGGACAAATATAAATATAGACAAGTTGTTTATCACCGGATACAAAAGTCAACCAAAATTAACAAATGATCTACATAGGACTAGAGAGACATCTCCGAGGTTAAGAGTGCCTTTGGCTATTGCAGAGGACCTGACTTCAGCTTACAGTCCCCATATGGTGGACCAGAGATACCTATAACTCCAGATCCAGGGGAGCTGACAGTCTTTTTCTGGTCTCAGCAAGCATCTGCATTCAAATGTGCATACGCACACACAAACATATAGGCAGATACCTCAGTAAATAGTGAAAGCAAATCTAAAAGGTAATTAATCCAAAATACAACCTAAGCATGAATCTTGTAACAGAAAGCAATTGAAAGAATTATAGACAAAATTCATAGATATAACAAACCCCTTTTATGAAAAGAAGAACTGGACTGTTAGGACTTCCATAAAGTGAAAAATGTACACTGTGATATAAAAGATATTTTCCCTGCCTGGGAAAAAATGAATGTAGGAAATTGTGTATTAGATGACAGCCTTATTGTTTCCAGAATACAGAAAGCCTAAAAAGAGTCACTAAGAAAATACACAATTCATGAAATAAAAGTTGTCCAGAAGGGTGAGTAGATGCTCCACTAAGCGGAACATACAGCATCAACATCCTTAACACTTAGGAAGAGAGACAGGTGATTCTAGGGGACTCTTGACACCCCCCACAAAATATTCAGAAATAATAATATGAAGACCTGGCAAGGTTGTGGGGATGAAACTATCATACTGACTGCTGGTAGCCATGGGAAATAGGACAATAACTTGGAAAAATATTTCTCAGTTTCTTGATATGTTAATTGTCATTTGACCAAAGCTGTAACAACTTTCCTGATGGAGCAGAGCTGTTACTTTTGAGAAAGCTTTCCCTGAAGCAGATCTGTAAGCTGCTAAGCTTATACTGACTTTGTGGTATTCCTTGCATCTGGACGGCCAGGATCCCTTTACATTTGAGCTGAAATGTTTACACTACACATATATGTTTTTAATTGTACTCATTGTCTGGCAGAAAGACATCTCCACTCTGCCTTATGGCATCCAGGTCCAGAAGGTACTAGCCAATCACAGTCCAGCCAGAGTCCTCAAAGCCTGTCTGGCTGGTAGACAACCAGAGGCCTGCCCAGAGCTACAAGGCTTCCATTACAATGAGCAAAATGTGTGGTGGAGAAACAGGAGAGAAAGAGTAGCGGGATGGTTCATGTGCTGTGAAAAAGAGGGGGAATAGAAGGTGGTAAGGAACAGGCTGAGGGGGTGGTCTTCTTGTCATTCATGGTCATGGGGTCATCAGGACCGAGGTTGCTACCAAAGGTCATTTCTGGGTCTCTGTTCTTATTGCAGCTTGGGTCTATGTTAACATCCATGGTCCACGCTGCCACCAAAGGGCACACAGGAGCCTGGAGTCTGGGCTGTGTCCTCTGGCCTTGTTGGGATCTGAGCGCTGTGTTGCCATTGGAGTGACAATGATCTGAGAGACCCGAGCTGCCAACCTGGGCCATGGTGTTGTCCATGCCTGAGCTGCTGACCAGGGCCATATCTGTGACCCAGCAGTAGCCAGGGTCTTTGTCTTCCTGACTCCTGTTACCAATGAAGGCCATGCGGATGCCTGAGGTGTGGGCCACCACCTGAGGCCACGTTGGTGTCCAAAGGCTTTGCTGCAGCTGGTGCCATCCTGATCTGTGTGGTCTGTGAAACCACCCGGGAAATGGTGACATCAAGGACGAGTTGCTGCCAGGATCATGTTGGGTCTATGGTCCTACCAGAGCTAGGGTATGTGCTGATGTTTGTGGCCCATGTTACTACAGGGGGCCTTAAGAGCCATGAATGATGATATCCAAGGGCCAGAGTGAGCTGGTTCTGCCCTTTGGTGGATATTGTGTCAAGAGCTGGCCCTGACTTTCACAGGAGAGCTAGTCCCACACCTCACCATGGGCATTGGAAAACTGGGCCTGGTGCCATGGGCATAGGTGAGCTGGCTTCGGCCCTATCCTTAGGCAGGCAGCTGATCAGCTCAGCTACCACCCAGGTCCATATTGGGGTTCTTGGCTTGGCCCATCCTAACATCTACACCATCTAAGGCCTACTGGAATGCTGGAATTGACTGGTCCTGGGGAACAATACCTGCAGAATCTCTGTTACGTGGGGTGACTGCAGGATATCCTAGAGGAGTTTTGTTGAGGGTCCCATGATGATAGTGTACCAGAAACTAGAGGCCATGAACAAGTTCAATGACTCATTGCAATGAAAGTTTACAAGTAAATATGTTGGACAAAAAGGTATACTGTGTGACTCACCTTATATGTAGATCGTATTAAAGTGTAATAGAAGCCCGAGTACTGCTTCTGATGACTTCAGTTGGATCCCCAGGACTCACATTGTGGAAGCAGAGAAATGACTCCTGCAAGTTGTCCTCTGACCTCTACAAGTACACTGTAGATCATGTATGGCCTTGCCAGACACACAAAATAGGCAAACAAATAAATGTAAAAAATGTAAATGGACATAACTTACCAAACACAAAACAAAAGCCAAAAATAACCGATGTTCTTATTGCTGACTGAAATAGACTCTAAAATGATTGCTTTTTTCAAGACATATATCTGAAACAAAGGCATTAAAATGTTAACTTGAACACTTAAAAAGAAGTAAACACATACCATCCAGGAACGAGTTATTAGAAATCTAGAGTTATAATCTTAACGTTTAAGAAAGAACTAAAACTAAAGTGGAATAAAACAATTTTAAAACATGCAGTAATGTTATGTGTAAAATTCATTAGGAGAATGCAAATCTTTCATACTTATATTTCAGTCACACAGCAAAATATGGATTGAAGGAGAATTACAAGAAAGTATAAAAGCCGATTAATAATTGCAGATGAATGCAAAGTAGTTTTCTCAATGTGACCACAATCATAGGAAAATAATTTATTAAATGAGAGGCCCTGCATAACCTAACCTCAAAGGCATATGCCCTGGGAAGACATATGGAACTCTTAAGTCTGATATAATCTTTTTTGTTGAAAGCATGGATTATTCCGTGATGGGAACTTCATTTGATGTGTAATGCAGTTTCTCCCCCTTTCCTTATCAGCATTTACAGGTTATTATTGACAGTCAGAAACAAATGAGAGAAATGTCCCAGAGACAAGTCCATGGCCATCGTCACAGATATCACACGCAAAAGACATACATAATTTTGTAGCTCTCACTATCCTGTGTGTGGTCAGAGATGAATCTGTTTTAACGTGGTTGTACCCCTTGAGCTCTCAGTAAACACCAGGGAGCTAGGAGAGTGAGAATGAGAGGTGTCGTGTGTGTGTGTGTGTGTGTGTGTGTGTGTGTGTGTGTGTGTGTGTGTGTGTACAAGAATTCCTTGGCAGAGGCTGGTCTGCAAAGCCTGGTTGATTGACTCTTAGACCTGCAGTGATATGGAGATGGTGGAAGTCGCAGTCCCAGGGCCTAATTACAATTTCCTTTGTGTTCTCTTGAGCCCATGAGTAGCCACTCCTTGGGCCCCCTGTGTTGGACTTACTTAACACCTTGTCACTAACAGATGACGTTGGACCTGACATTTAAAATATCAGAATATGTCTCCTTATCAAAGCTTTAAGTTTCTACCAGTCAAAGGACTGCTTTTCATCACATAGCAGCTAGTGCCTGTAGCTGAGGTTTCTCTGCTTTACCATAACAGTCTACTTAATATTATCACCCATGTACTTAAGGAGAGACTATAGTTTCTTCATTCTGTGATTATAAAAACTTCATGAAACTGTTTCCACATTGTAACTTGCAATTTGTACTAACATAAACCTGTCTCACTCATGTTTACTCACATATATTTGACTCCAGAATGAACTCTCTTCTTCCTTCGAGGTGAGAGCTGTGTGTTTACATTGACATTTGTTAGTGTGTGTTGTGTATATACTCATGCTTGTGCAAATATGTCCCTGGATATATATGTGTGAAAGTTAGTTAATCACTTACTGCTGTGATAGGCTATGTGTTATAATTCTCCTGGTCCTCTTCAATGATGACCTGGTGTGTAGTATACTGCTTACTTATCTCCATATTTCTTTACTCATGTGCTGACTTATATCAGTATGGCTCAACACCCATTTTCCCAAACTGTTTTCCTCTATTGCTGTTCTCTATTTCCATGCTCCCTTTGTCCCAGTATGGCTAGAGGAATCCTTTTAAGATGGCATCTGTGTTCATCTGGTGCCTCTGGAGAATTTCCTGGGTCTACGCATTGTACTCTCTGAGCCCCTGTATGGAAAGGAAGTAATGATGCCTACCTCAAAGAATCATTTTCAGGGCCTGAATGGAGAGGAAACAAAACCTGTGTATTTTTGTGGTTGGCCGATTTCCCTTGCCCCCTTTGTGCTGCCCATGGAAGGCTGTGGCATGAAAGTAGGGGCCTGAGTGCACACAGAGAAGGGGAGTTCTTGCCATGGGAATGGGAAATGCACAAGCTCACATTCCCAGTATGTGTCTGCAGTCACAGTTATCACTGTATATGCCCAGGGTGGTGAGATGACCTGGGAGGAGGAAAAACATCATTGTGTACCTTCCATTGATGTCGTCTGCACAGACAAGGCACCATCATTCCATCCCCTGGGATTTATGTGCTTCCTCATCCTGGTTTCCTCTATTTCATGAGTTTTCTTTTCCCTTCTGCTACCTTCTAGTGTAAACATAAAGGGAAATATCTGCAACCCAGAAGCAGGAGTTTGTATGGAAGAACCCAGTGTGCTGTGATGTCTGCCAGACCGGACAGAACATTGGGACAAAAGGGTGAGTTAGATCCCTTCCCCCATCCTTATCCATTCAATATAATAACAATACCTCATCTTCTGTTCATTAGCAATCCTGAGGTTAAACATGATCCTGTGTGCATAAATGCCTTCTCATCTCAGCTGGATAGAAAGACCAAAGCACTTTGGAGTAAGTATGTTACAGCAGCTATCCAAGATCTCCCTGATAAGAGCTAGAGAGTGGAACTCAAACATTGTGATTGCCTGCGAGTCTAACCCTATTTGATATTATTGTAATTATAGCTCCTTCACAATCACCCCTTGTAAGAACAAAATCTACAATACATTTACTCTATGTCTATAGAGGACCACATCACATCACTATGCTTCCTGCTTAAAACATCACACAGAACTGAGAGATATTAAGAGGAAAATGAAATTTGTGTTTTGTTTAATCATTTTCTGCATTGATTTTATTTTTCCTTCTTCCAGATATTTCTATGTTTCCTCTATATGTAGGGATAGGTCCGCCCCTTGGGGGGCGTGTTCGCCTCGGGCTAATGTCTGCCTATAAATTTGGCGAGCATGCTCCCAGCCATCACTTCTGCTTTCCTGGTCTCCACGGGAACGGTGCTTCTGTAAGTCTATTTCTACATTAAAGCTATAGATATATATTTTTTTACAATCTGTCTGCATTTGTTTACGCCGTTACAGATTGGCGCCCGATGTGATGGACTAAACCCACTTAAAAAACCTGAGAAGGCTTACAAATAAGGGAGAGAGAGTTTAACACAGATTTTTGCTGTTCGTTGGTGGCATGCTGTAGAGAGATTTCCTGATTCGGCAACAGTAGCAGAAAAAACGCTGTGTCATTTTAAAGTGCGACTTCCTGGGGCTGTGCCGCCATTGCGATCTCTTTCTGGCTCCTGAGGGAGACAGAGCTTTTGAATAGAGCATTTGGAGTAAAGTGCTACGATTTGTTTGATGGCAACTAGACTCGCTGTGTTCTCGGGTCTGCTCTGCTTGCTAGAGGCAAGCAAGCGCCTCATCTAAGAGAGGCTTCCTGACTCAGCTTCAGCTGCAAAACCCTGCAGCTCTTAAGAGGTCCTGCCACGAAACACTTAAATGGTGTTGACGAAAAGCTGAACGCATGCTTTTCAGTTTTCAGCCGTACCAGAAAAAAAGCTGCGCCATTTAAAAATGCGGGGAATGCAATCTTGTGCAACCACTATGGAAGTCAGTGTTTCGGTTTCTCAGGAAATTCGGGATCAACCTACCCCTGGACCCAGCAATACCACTCTTGGGAATATACCCAAGAGATGCCCTATCATATGACAAAAGCATTTGTTCAACTATGTTCATAGCAGTATTATTTGTAATAGCCAGAACCTGGAAACAACCTAGATGCCCTTCAATGGAAGAATGGATGAAGAAAGTATGGAATATCTACACATTAGAGTACTACGCTGCGGTAAAAAACAATGACTTCTCTAATTTTGCATGCAAATGGATGGAAATAGAAAACACTATCCTGAGTGAGGTATCCCAGACCCAAAAAGATGAACATGGGATATACTCACTCATAATTGGTTTCTAGCCATAAATAAGGGTCACGGAGTCTACAATAGGTGAATCTAAAGAAGCTAAGTAAGAAGGGGAACCCAAGGAAAAACATATAGTTATCCTCTTGGCTAAGGGAAGTAGACAAAATTGCCGGGGAAAAAATTGGGATCTTGGGGGTGGGGTGGGATGGGGGTAAGGGGAGATGGGGAGAGAAAAGTTAGAAGGGAAGGAGGTCGGGCCTTGGGAAAACAGGAGGATTGGGATAAAGGAAGGTTGGACAGGGGAGCACGGAACCACAATTCTTAGTTAAAGGAGCCACTTTAGGGTTGGCAAGAGACCTGACTCTATAGGGGCCCCCAGGTGCCCAAGCCGAGGTCCCCAGTTAGTTCCTTGGGCAGTTGAGGATAGGGAACCTGAAATGACCCTATCCTAGAGCAATACTGACGAATATCTTGCATATCATCATAGAACCTTCATCTGGTGATGGATGGAGATAGAGACAGAGACCCACACTGGAGCACTGGACTGAGCTCCCAAGGTCCCAATGAGGAGCAGAAGGAGGGAGAACATGAGCAAAGAAGTCGGGACCACGAGGGATGCACCCACCCACTGAGACAGTGGAGCTGATCTATTAGGAGCTCACCTAGACCAGCTGGACTGTGACTGAAAAAGCATGGGATAAAACTGGACTCTCTGAACATGGCGAAAAATGAGGGCTGATGAGATGCAAAGGACAATGGCACGGGGTTTTGATCCTACGTAATGTGATGGCTTTGTGGGAGCCTAGCCAGTTTAAATGTTCACCTTCCTAGATATGGACGGAGGGGGGAGGTCCTAGGACTTTCCACTGGGCAGTAAACTCTGACTGCTCTTTGGACTGGAGAGGGAGGGGGAAAGGAGTGGGGGGAGGGGGAGAAGGGTGGGAGGAGGGGGCATAGGGTGGGAGGAGGGGGAGGGAAATGGGAGGCTGGGAGGAGGTGGAAACTTGTTTTTTTTCTCCTTTTCTCAATAAAAAAAAAAAAGAAAAAAAATAAATAAATAAAAATAAAAATGCCGCTTTCTGGGCTGTCCTGCCAGGGCAAACTCTGACTCTTTTACGCAGGCGGTTCGTGCGGTTTGCAAGCACAGG